GTGTAATGATAATGGCTATTGTTTATGAAGTATCTATTGTGTGTAGGCACTGGGCCCCTCATCTGACAAGTGAATCTAATTTACCCTTCACACTCACCCTGGGAGGTAGATGGTATTATTCCCATTTCAAAGATGAGACATTGGTTTTGAGAAGATGGGACTTGCCCAAAGTCAGAGCATCAGAGTGAGGATTTTAGCCCTGTAAAGCCAGTATTGAGGCAGGTGATATCTTAGTCTGCTCTGGCTGCCATAATAGGATACCACAGGCTGTGTGGCTTAAAAATCAAAAATGTGTCTTCTCATGGTCCTGGATGCTGGGAGGTCTAAGATCAAGGTGCCAGCAGGGTTCAGTTTCTGTGAGGGCTCTCTCCCTGGCTTGCAGACAGCTGCTTTGTCCTTACGTGGCCCTTCCTCTGAGTACATGCAGAGAGAACACGCTCTGGTCTCTCTTGCTCTTAAAGGGATACCAGTCCTGTCAGAATAGGGCCTCAACTTTATGACCTCATCTAACCTCAGTTAATCTCCTCATAGGCCCCATCTCCAAATACAGTCTCATTGGGGGTTAGGGCTTCACCATATAAATTTGCTAGAGGACATAACTCATTCCCTAACAGGTGGTTTTTAGCTTCTTTCTTTCCCTTTCAGGCAATGGGACGCATCTTTGTGGGGCTTTGCCAGGTGGGTGCATGGGGCTGCTTTGACGAGTTCAACCGCCTGGAGGAACGGATGCTGTCGGCCGTGTCCCAGCAGGTGCAATGCATTCAGGAAGCTCTGCGTGAGCATTCCAACCCCAACTATGATAAGAGTAAGCCTTCTCTTTTTCTTTAAAAGTTACTTAGAGAACGTGGAGGGAAATTCCATTGTGAACTAATTTACTACCTCTTCAATTAGAAATAAACAAGAATTTAGCTCACAGGAGCACACTAGTGCAGGCAGTGTAGTGAGCTGTGCTTAAAGACTGGCTGAGAGACACAGGGTGATGCCACATCAGCAGTTAGTATTCCTCATTCTGGGACAGCAGCAGGACCCACGTCCTAGAGCAACCAGGAGCATGAGCAGTCCTTCAGCTCGATAGGAGCCGCTCCCTGTGCTCCTGCCTACAGTGTCGGCCATGCACTCAGTGCTTCAGCCCAGGTGGGCCCTCAGTACTGCCCTCTTCCTCCCTGCATCACCAGAGAGCCAGCCTCCCTAGCCACCTGCTTGGCTATAGTGTTCTGACATCTGGTTTTGAAAATGGCTCCTCTGTCACAACAGGAGTAGCCGTCCTGAAAGGCTCCTGGGCTGCTTCACGTGCCTTGTTCAACACAAAGTCCCAGACATGAGGTGGAGGCAGGGTGGGGTGCCAGAGGAAATAAACACATCAGTATTGCATAGGTGTGAACTTCTTCCTGTGAATGTACACAGTTTAATTTTTAATGTTTCTTTTTTGTTTTTAATAAGAGTAAACTGTCTTAGAAAGAATTCTGCAGACCTCCTACATAAAACGAAAGGAGTGTCAGAGAAAGCAGTATCTGTGTCTGTCATTGGTGTTCTCTTACAGAATAAATACACTCTATCCCTGAGTAGTTCACGGGGTTTCGCGGGGAAGGGTTTGGTTTTATTTTTGTAGTTAATGATCCTCGGAAAAGGGAATTCTCATGATCTAAGCTGTTGACAGCAATGATTAATTTTTATTTTTTCAACTCTTGTTGGACTCATTTCTGTTCTTGAGTCGCCCTTGTGACACTTAGTGTTGTGTTGCACAATAGAATAGTGGGGCCCTGCATCTGGTGGCTTGATATGTGCCACCTTCGTGTATGTGAAGTTTGGGAGCAGCTCTCCCTAGGCTGGGTGGCGTGCCTGGCAAGCACCTGTGGGGAGGCCAGAGAGCAGCCCCACTAGGAACGGGTGCTTTGTCTGTCATTTTAGAGACATTTTTAAATAGTCCTTTGAACATCGTGAGTCTTAATGCCATCATCTAATTTTCAGCCTCTGACCCCATTACTTGTGAGCTGCTAAACAAACAAGTCAAGGTGAGCCCAGACATGGCCATCTTCATCACCATGAACCCTGGCTATGCAGGCAGGTCCAACCTTCCTGACAACTTGAAGAAGCTCTTCCGGAGCTTGGCCATGACCAAGCCTGACCGGCAGTTAATAGCCCAGGTCATGCTGTACTCACAGGGCTTCCGTACTGCCGAGGTTCTTGCCAACAAGATTGTCCCGTTCTTCAAGTGAGTAGCCTGCAGTTGTTCATACTCAGATTTCTAGCATATGTTAAATATACCCATTTAACCTTCAAATTTTTGTTTATAATTATGGCACAGCATTTAAAATATCCATCTGATTGCTTGACGCTTGACACTACTGTTGCTTAAAGCAAATTTTTTTTTTGAGAGAGAACCTTTTCTTTTTTAGATTATGTGATGAGCAGCTCTCTTCTCAAAGCCATTATGACTTTGGTCTTCGGGCTTTGAAGAGTGTGCTGGTAAGTGCAGGCAATGTGAAGAGGGAGAGAATTCAGAAGATAAAGAGAGAGAAAGAAGAACGAGGGGAAGCCGTTGATGAGGGAGAAATTGCCGAAAATCTACCTGAACAGGAGGTTTGTACAAACATTCTTTTGGTCAGTCGAACCTCATGACTTGAGTTCACTTTGCAGTCCACATGTCCCAGGATGACTGGAGAAAACTAAATTGAGTGAGTGAATGTGGGCGAGTGGCAGATTGGTCCATTTTGTTCCCTAAGCATTACACTCACGCGCCTTCCAGGGCCATGGCAGATGTGCGAGCCATGCTCCTAACCCTCCTGCAGCTCAGTCCTTCCCCCACAGATTCTGATACAGAGCGTCTGTGAGACAATGGTGCCAAAGCTCGTGGCAGAAGACATCCCGCTGCTCTTTAGCCTCTTGTCAGATGTTTTCCCTGGAGTCCAGTATCACCGGGGTGAGATGACCGCCCTCCGAGAAGAACTGAAGAAAGTATGTCAGGAGATGTACTTGACATATGGTGATGGAGAAGAAGTTGGTGGAATGTGGGTTGAAAAGGTAACTCGGATTGTGCTGTTGGCTGCTGCCCGCACTGACCCTGCTGGCATTAGTGTCCAGGAATGACAGCCACGGGCCATTAGATGAAAGTCTGTCCGTGAAGGCTGGGGAGGTGCATAATCTGTTTTATGAAGATTTGCCCAAGGCCTGTTCGAATTTTTCTTTTATTTAAATGTAGAGGTAGCAAAACTTACCTGAAAATTTTAATTATGTGATATACAGCTCATTCTCGGAAAATGCTGACTAAAGGCATGATTATAATGGGAATTTGTTGATGCTGGTAAAAATTCTACTTATAAGACTTTCCAGTACCTTGGATTAACAATAATAACCTTAATTGCTAATGGATACACAGTTAACATTCTGTATTGGCTTCTTTTCTTTCCTTCCTCTTGTGCGATTCATTTAAGAAAAAATTTATTTATACAAGCTGTGTGGATTGATCCCAAGAGACACTGTACTGGATTAAACACATGGCTTATCTGTTTGTTCTCTTCTTGTTTGGAGGAATCTGATGTGTCCTTGTTGAGACAGCTTGGTAGGCCTCTCCTTGTTGTACTGGCTCTAGCCTTCATGACTGATTAAAGAACTCCCCACAATTTAGAATTGTTTTTTTTTTTTTTTTAAAGATGACCGATAAGGGGGTCTTAACCCTTGACTTGGTGTTGTCAGCACCACGCTCACCAAATGAGCTA